GAGGATACTGGGTGCACTGGGAGGATACTGGGAGCACTGGGATGTCACTGGGAGGGACGGGGGAGCACTGGGAGGATACTGGAAGCACTGGGAGTTTACTGAGAGGTCACTGGGAGCACTGGGAGGTCACTGGGAGGGACAAGGGCAGCACTGGGAGGATACTGGGAGCACTGGGAGGATACTGGGAGGGATGAGGGGAGCACTGGGAGGTTACTGGGAGCACTGGGAGGATACTGGGAGGGACGAGGGGAGCACTGGGAGGTCACTAAGCGGTTACTGGGAACACTGGGAGGTTACTGGGAAGGATGGGGGGGGAACACTGGGAGCTGACTGGTCCTTACTGGTCCTTACTGGTCCTTACTGGGCGCAGTGCCGATGGAGGAGCGCGGTGCCGAATACGACCTGAGCGCGGTGCGGCTCTGCTTCCAGGTGTGGCTGCACAGCCCTGGGGGGCTCTGCCCACTGCCCCCCGTCCTCTCCCAGCCCATCTACGACAACCGTGAGTCCCCAGCAGCCCCAACACGCCAGCAGCACGCTAAAACACGCTAAGATCATGCTAAAACATGCCGGTGTCATGCTAAAACAGGCTAAAGCCACGCTAAACACGCTGAAGTCACGCTGCAACACGCCATCGTTGCGGTGTAGCGTGCTGAACATGCCAGTGTCGTGCTGAAAGATGGCTGTGTTATGCTGGGACATGCCTTAATCACGCTACAACATGCTAAGATCATGCTGTTGTGTGTCACGGTCACGCTAAAGCATTTTCATGTTGTGTTAGAGCACGTTAATATCATGTTACGACATGCTAAAGTCACGCTAGACATGCTAAAGTCATCCTACAACACACTAGTGTTGCATTATAACATTCCAGTGTCATGCTAAACATGCTAAAGTCATGCTAAACGTGCTGAGTCACAGTACAACATGCTGGTGTGGCATTATAACATTCCAGTGTTGTGCTAAAGTCATGCTAAAACATGCCAGTGTCATGCTGGAGCGTGCCTAAGCGATGCTACAACATGCTTAAATCATGTTGTGACTTGTTACAACATGCCAATGTCATGCTAAAGATGCCAACGTTGCACTAAGCGTGCTGAAGTCGAGTCACAACATGCCAAAATCACACCAAAACATGCCAAAATCACGCCAAAACACGCCAACGTCATGCCAAAACCTGCCGCTTTGTGTGGCTGGGTGACGTCACATGTCCTTGCGACCCCGCGTTATCATACGTGAAACTGAGGGACCCCACGTGACCCTGGGTCGCCATGTATGACCCCATGTGATCCCGTGTGACCCCACGTGACCCCATGTGACTCTGTGTCCCCATATATGACCCCACATGACCTCATATTTCTCCATGTTCCCATATATGCCCCCGTGTGACCCTATGTGACTCCACACAACCCCGTGTGACCCCCTATGACCCTGTGTCCCCATATGTGACCCCGTGTGACCCCGTGTCCCTATATGTGACCCCGTGTGACCCCATGTGACCCCGTGTCCCCAGGTGCCCCCAGCACAGCCGAGCTGCGCATCTGCCGGGTGAACCGCAACTCCGGGAGCTGCCAGGGGGGGGATGAGATCTTCCTGCTGTGTGACAAAGTCCAGAAAGGTCGGTGTCCCCAAAAGTGTCCCCATCTTGTCCCCAAATGCATCCCCAAACGTGTCCCCAACCCGTCCCCAAATGTCCCCAACCCATCCCCAGTTTTGTCCTCCATTTGTTCTCTCATGTGTCCCCAATCTGTCCCCAATTGAGACCCCAACCCATCCCCAATTGTGTCCCCAGTTGTGTCCCCAGTTGTGTCCCCAATCTGTCCCCAGTTTTGCCCTCAATCCATCCCCAATTGTGACCCCAACCCACCCCCAAATGTTCCCCAGTTGTGCCCCCAATCGATCCCCAATCACGACCCCCAACCCGCT